CGCACATACAGTCATTGACAATTAAAAAAGCGGTTAATCTATCTTGCAGTTGTCACCTCATAAGCAGACAGTATTCAGCAGATTCTCTTATCACACACACGATAAAAAACAGATTGAGAAAAAACAGAGGCGGGCACCGGGGCATGCTATATGACCCACGTTTCTCGAGTTCAGAGTACCCGTGGCAGTGACGTAAATACAGCAATGCCGAAGCCTGTATTGGGGCCAGAGCTTGTTAAAAAGTGTGATAACTTGATCCAACGCAAAATGAATTGTATTTTCAATACCTGATGAAGCATCATTGCACAGGATACTTTTGCACGAAAGCGTCGATGTCTGTGTGCCGGCCTCACTGTCTGTCTCACTATCTGTCTGTCTGTCTCTCTTTCTCTCTCTCCCACTCACCCTCACCCTCACCTCCCCCCCTCTCTCTCTCTCTCTCTCTCTCTCTCTCTCTCTCTCTCTCTCTCTCTCTCTCTCTCTCTCTCTCTCTCTCTCTCTCTCTCTCTCTCTCTCTCTCTCTCTCTCTACCTCTTCTCTTCTCTTTTCTCTCTTCTCTTCTCTTTTCTCTCTCACCGGATCCTTACCGGTGCAGTTACAATCCGCACACATAGGAAGGAACATGTTCACATCTTTAACATATCTAACGAATATCAAGGATAAAAATTTACCTTCTTAACCACTCACATGTCAGTTATATTCAACATATCTGACTTTTTTCACGTATATATTGCACTTTCCTTGCTTTTGCTCTCCGAGATCTCTTGAGATCTCTTGCAGTAAAAGAGAGACACTTTCTCTTGATATCCCACGTGACTAAGTTTTTTTCTTTTTTTTTTGATAGAAAGACCAATAGGTAAATAAATAAAGAGAATAATATATATATATATATATAATATATATATATATATATATATATATATATATATATAAGGTCGAGTAAACCGAAGAAGTAAAAGAAGAAATGCAAAATTAGCGAGGTAATACAAAGTATAGAGATTCCTGGCACCCAAGACCTGTTGGCGACCGGCATCTGCCAAATGTATTGTGGCACCAATATGACGTAAAAGACTTTTATTTTTACTATTTTATGTCTCATTTTACGTTGTATTTCTATATTTATCTGTCTATCAATCTATCTATCTTTCCATATTTTGTACATGCGTTTGTCTTTTCAATATGTTGATAAATGAAAGATACTTATGATGATGATAACGACGAAGAAAGATAAAAGAAAGCTCGTTTATGCTACGGTTTGATAAATGCAAATGGTATTATAATGAATCAAGTAAAGTAATTTTACCCTGAGGCTTAACGGTCCAAAATGCCACATTCTAGTGTCCACGCCAAAGCTTTCCTATAACACTTTTTTTTGGCAAACTTTCATCTGATTAAGTTTATATCTCTCTGAAAATAAGTTAGAATACTGACCTGAGATAAAACAACGGAAAGGGAATCAACCGTAATGTTAAACGAAAAATATAAACACGCAAATATTCAATTCAAAATGTTTTCCGAAGCGGTTGGGATACGCCCTTTGTGCATTCAAACAGCTGGCGGAGGGTCGCCGAGTACACGTCTCGGAGCCGCGATTATTGTCATTTGCAAATCAGCTGACTGCTCCTGTGTTCATTTATATTGTAGAAAATGCTATAGATAAGTACTAAAAACAGCAAATAAGAAGAAGGTGAACGGATAGGGAAATAAGTGAATGATGGAATGCCCATATAATAAAAAAAATCAACGAATTACATTATATATTGAGAGCAAAATGAAAAAATAGAGGGATTTCATATATAAAATAAACTTTCGAGCGATAATCCATCTTCATAACTCGGGCTTATCTTTTATACACAAAGACGTTCAATGTTTCTTCTAAATCAGCTGTTTTACTCGCGGCGTCCCTAGTTATTGTAAATTCATTTTTTACTCTTTGTTTACAGGAATATTTTTACACAGCCATTCTTCGGGTACGAAATTATTTGTTTTTGCGTCGGACAATGGAAAAAATGTTAAATGCACATATTTCACACACACACACACATGAATATATATATATATATATATATATATATATATATATATATATATATATATATATATATATATAATTGTATATAAATACTCGGTTATAAAAGGATGCTCGGCGTATATTGATCGTAAATACATAATATTTCTGACAATGTGAAAGTACTGTACATATCTTTTTAAACCAATCTGTCTACCTTTCTGCAAGGAATCATATTAAGGAATTATATTATAACTCTTTCTGCCCGCGTATCTGGCCTCTTCTTAAAGCATTTTCACAAATTTACACACGTATAGAAAAAAAACAACAACACAATGCCACTGTATTTTTACATCGGTTTACCTTCGCCGAACTGGTCCTGCCCTCATTAACCGGTAGGATCTGGTCTTTGCTAAAATTATTGGCGAGGAACTTTCAAGAAACAGTAATTCGGTCAATGTTATGCCACTCTCCTTTGGGCTCTTAGATTTA